CACACACACACACACACACACACACACACATAGGCTCAACAGCAAGGCTTTTTCTTTAATTTCAGTGGCATTTTTTATGAATTTAAATTAATTTAAAAACATTTATATTTGTACATGTTATAATTACTTACCTTTAGAATGTTACTTTTCTCATTTAGTTTAACTGTGCATGCATTATTATTTAATATTATTTATTGTATTACAAGCATTATTATTATTTAAATATATTTTTAATTACTTGTTTTACAATATTGCACAATTTACCATTTTTCCTTTATATAGAAAACATGCAATGATACCTAGAAATTACATGTATTTTAAATGTAATGTACAGACAACTCCAAACCAACCATAACTTCATAAACATTTTTGTTGGTAATTGCTGGAATTGACTGGTTTGATATTTTTAACAATAAATTAAATCGATCAATCGAATCAATCAATTAATCAATTTTTGTGTACATGATCATTAAAGGAAATACAGTGACAAAACCTATAACACAATCATTTTGCTAGGCCCAAACTCTCACACTGAAGCACGAAACAGCTCTGCAAACACAATAATCTTATAGTGGTGCCATAGCAGAGAGAGTGCTAAATTGCAGGGTCAGTTCAGAATCATGAAAGCTTGTAATCACTGAGAGGATATCCCTTCTGCATACACACACACACACACTTACTATACACGTCATCTCTTTACATACATGCAGACTCTATAGGTCAGAAGTCAATACTTCAAGTAAAGGCTGTCACATATATCTATATAAGACTAGTCCATGAAGGCATAATTTACTGATCCTAAAGGAAGTGCATTAGTGAATGAGAGCTGTTTACAATCATCTATGTTAATATATGTGCGTGCGTGCGTGTGTGTTTTCAGTCAGATTAGATGAGGTTTCACAACCCTTCCTGTTGTTCATTCATCATGCTGTCAGTCTGCAGGGATAGACACCACACACATCCTTATTAGCTAACACCCATACAACCAGATCTCTCTCTCTCTGTCAGTCATATCTCTATTTGCTTCTGTCTGGAAAATTAGTGCAAATAACAAGATCAAAGTCCAATTACAAAATAAAACTGGAAGTGTATGACTGTACAACGGCACTTAGGGTCCAAAATGAACACTCGCCAAGTACCAAATGTGTGGTAGAAAAACAACAACAAAAAACGTTCACTAGTTTAAATGAATCAGGGCAAACAGTCAACAGAAAAACCAATCTGTGCACTACGAGCACAGCCAGAGGGATCCATGTGACGGACACGTCATCACGCTCACACACACACTCTCTGAGCATGTCTGTGTCCATCTTGAGATTGTGATGACAGATGACACACTGCGTTGAGGCAAAAAGCACAGATTCATATCTTAATAAGACACAAACATACTGACAGCCTAGAGCCCCCAATAACACACACACACACACACACATACGAATACACAAACACTTGAATAATCAGCCACATTATTACATAATAAACTATTATTTATTACATAATAAACTATTATTCAAGCTGTTGTTGAGTTGCACTAAGCAATACTGCAGGACCAAGAAAATCAGGCGGAAAGCAAAAGGTACTAAGAGTAATTTGAAGTGCGTAAAAGTAGATAAAGAGAGACAGCGGGACAGCGAGAGATGAGTCATATGATGAATGCGGCTGCTTCAGTCCTGATCTAGAACACAAATATCACATCAGACTCATTTGCCTGTGAAACACTCACACAAACGCAAGGCCACAGTGAGCCCATCATTGAGGAGATCAGATTTCTGCCAACACAGAGTGATACACCATGTCTTAAAAAAGCGCTAGCCGATTTGACCAACAGCCAACATATGCATGTGATGTTTAACATAAAGCTATGAAGGACCAATGAGATTTTTTTTTTTAATTACTCATTCTCAGGCCATCCAAGATGTAGATGAGTTTGTTTCTTTATCGGAAAAACAGATTTGGAGAAATTAAGCATTGCACCACTTGCTCACCAGTGGATCCTCTGCAGTGAATGGGTGCCGTCAAAATGAGAGTCCAAACAGTTGATAAAAACATCACAAGAATACACACTAATTGTTTTGTGAAGCAAAAAGCTGTGGTTGTAATAAAAAAAAATCCACCATTATTAACTTTAAACCAAGTCCGCTAATCATAATGTTTTCTCCAGTGAAAAAGTCATCTCGTCTGAATCAGGAGAGAAATATGCAAAGATCAAGCACTGTTTACAAGCAAAAACAGTCCAAAACAAATATGTTGGTTGATTTTGATGTGAGAAGATAACAGGGAATGGGCTTTTTCACTGGAGGGAACGTTATTATGGATTATGGACTCGTATTTTGACAAGAAGCCATGGTTTAAAGTCTTGTTGGATTTTTTTCTTACAAACACACAGCTTTTCATTTCACAAGATGTCATTTAATCTACTGGATGTGGATTATTATGATGTTTTTATCAGCTGTTTGGACTCTCATTCTGACAGCACCCACCCACTGCAGAAGATCCACTGGTGAACAAGTGATGTAATGCTAAATTTCTCCACATCTGTTCTGATGAAGAAACAAACATCTTGGATCTACTCAAGCTACTCATGATCTACAGTAGCTTTCTCACCTCAAAGCATTCATAACCCATAACCTTTTAAAGCAAGAGACAAAGAGTGAGAGCTATTCTCTTGCTGGAGGATGTTGGGGGTTGTGGGGTCACTCAGGGGCCAGGCGTGCTGCGTTTGAGCTGGGCTGCTCTCTAAATTTAGTCTGAAGTTTTTCCACAAGCCTCTGGCTGTCCACACCTGACACCCAGCAATAAAGCTGAGCTATCACTGAAAGATTGATTTTATAAACTGGTATTTTAGCTACCATGCAAAGTTGTAAAAAAAGAACGCATGCAAAGATGTGTGTGTGTGTGTACTCACAGCCCTCGTAGATATCAGTGGGAATGTGCACTGCTGTTGTACTGTATGAAACAGGGCGTTTGAAGGCAGGATCCTCTTTGAATTCTAGCTTGACGCAGTTATGGCGTGTTTCAGTGTCATTGATGTCAAACTAGGAACATAAAAATAAGCATAAACCTCTCAAACTACAAAAAACACCTTGTTAATTTTCCTTTCTTTGTTGTTTAGTTCATATCCAAGCATGCATTTTTAAAAAGAAACCTTACCTTGTCCTTGGCATTGTAGTAGATGGTATCATTAACCTGTTCGACAAAGAGTGAACAAGACTTTAGTGTTTTATTATCAAAGCTTTAAATATTCATTAGGATAGTTTATTTGTTTGTTTAGTGGGGCAGCCTATTGATGTTACCTTTTTTTTTTTAAAATAATCATAAACATTCCAGAAAGGTTACAGGGTAGGTTTGTGCAACAACCTAATAAAAACATATACAGACAAAACAAATTTTTTTATGTTTCATAATCACCCATTTCTAGCATTCTATTAATGTTCTTCTTAGGTTTTTGTCACAATATTGATTTATATTTCATGATCACAAATTAACATTCCCATAATGTTGCAGAAATATAGGCATTTGTATAGGTATTTGCATAAAGTTTTAAGTGTTTCTATATTAATTTGTGATTCTCCGAAGTCAAATCTATTTTTGCAATAGTTTTCTGCAAGCTGGTTTTATATATTTAAAAATTATTATTATTATTATTAGTAGTAGTATTTAGGAAATTCATTCAATCATGCTTATTTAAAAGAAGGCATATGAGACTTAAAATATCATTCCATCTAATATTATATCAATCATCAATTTATTGCATTTTTTTGTCAAAGTGTCCATCTCTAACAGTATATTGAATCTGAATGTGACTATGTATTTTCAAGTGTTTTTATTTAGCTCTCTATGTGTGGTTTGTACCTAATCTTTGTGCATTCACAAAAGGAAGTTGTTCAGTTTTTGTACTCTCACTTTCCCAGAAGTGATGCATGCTTTAGGTGTGTGTGTGTGTGTGTCCTCCAAGGGTTGTTCTCCTCGCAGTGTGAGGGCGCTGTCAGGACTAGCATTAGTGGGGCGTTAACAAGCAAGCTCACTATCTGACATACAGTTGCCTTGGAGACATAGGAGTGGATCATCACCGGCTGCCGCCACCTGTCCTACTTGCTTGCTAATCATGTGGCAGACACTCTTTTTAGGTTATAGACCACTAATCGCTGAGACATGCACATATAGGTCATCCCTGCATGGGATCAAACTCTTGACTTTCTACCTGCATCCCATCAATAACTAAAAAGAAAACCTCTCTGTCTGTCACAACAATTGTGTCCATAACAAAGGCTTGAAGAGAAGCACCTGCTGCGACAGCTCCAGGCAGGGCAGACTTTTGAACACAAAGGCGCCCACACATTTGTTTGATTTACAGTACACACTATGAGTGTAACATCTTAACTATGAAAAATAATATAATACATTTTTTAACAAGTATCATGGAAGTACCATGTACATTAGAACCGTCCAATAACGATTTTCATATTGTGGCCGATATATATATATATATATATATTCAATGCTATTTTGTGTAAATAAATAAAATTACAACATAATTAGTTTTAAATGCTACTTAGCATTATCTATATGCTACTATAATATTTATTAATATTTCAAATTAGCTTTTTATATTTTCAGATTTAGATTTATTTAGCAATTTTTGTTATGTACGTTTGCCATTTTCCTTATTATTATTTTTAAATATTTCTGTTTAGCTTTATTTTTATTATGGTTTTACTTTTTGCAATGTATTATTTCAACGAATTTATTAAACAAAATTCAGTTAGTTGCAAAGCATTGGTAACTTTTTTTTTTACCATTTTTCCAAATTATATTTTAACTTATTTTAGCTTAATTTAAATTACTAGAAATTAATTTAATAACAATGATCACAACATTATAATGTACAGAATAAAAAAAATTATATTAATTTTGAGATTTGCTTAAAAAAATAGCATTTAACAATGTTTATTTTATTAACTTAAAGTGAACATTAAATGAGATATCTATGCTTACTATCACATATATGTGACCCTGGACCACAAAACCAGTCTTAAGTGTCAAGCTTTCCATTGATGTATGGTGTGTTAGGATAGGAGAATATTTGGCCGAGATACAACTATTTGAATATCTGGAATCTGAGGGTGCAAAAAAATCTAAATATTGAGAAAATCGCCTTTAAAGTTGTCCAAATGAAGTTCTTAGCAATACATATTACTAATCAAAAATGAAGTTTTGATATATTTACGGTAGGAAATTTGCAAAATATCTTCATGGAACATGATCTTTACTTAACATCCTAATGATTTTTTGGCATAAAAGAAAAATCGATAATTTTGACCCATACAATGTATTTTTGGCTATTGCTACAAATATACCCCAGCGACTTAAGACTGCTTTTGTGGTCCAGGGTCACATATTACTGTGGCAAATCACCACTGGTTGGGATAAACTGAATCTCCATATATCTCTCTAATATTCAGATTAAAACCACTGATTAAACATGTTTTGAAACTTTTTGAGTTAAAGTTTTTTAAAAGCATTTTAAATAGCAAATCTAACCACTAGTCTGATTCAGAAATGAAATATTGCTGCGCTACAAATTTTGATAACTCATTCAGAAAATACTTGACTGACAAATCTATAACCAGACAACCAGACATCACATCCATTTCTCTGCAAATTAGAATTGATATTTCAGTCCGTGGGAACCTGAAATGCATCAATACCAGATACCACAGATGCAAGGCCTGAGACCAGGATGCCAACATTTTCTAACCCAATTGATTATCTCACCATCTAAATAAGGTGACAACGTGTGTAAATGTGTCCGGTATCTGTTCTTATCCAATAAAGGACTGATTGAAAACATGCCCTGGCAAAAGTTTTACAGCCTTATTTCTTCCACCTGTGTGTGTGTGTGTGTGTGTGTGTGTGTTTCAGAGTGTTTAGAACCATGTGTTGAATGTGTGAAGCATTACATCAAGATCATCCTTCCACTGGTGTTCCTTCTGCAGGTTCTCCGCAGCCGTCGCCAGCGCCTACAAACACAAGGAACGAGAGACCAAAGTGTTAAAGAATGTATTGATTATTTAAAAAGAAATTAGTTTTAGAAATTTAGAAAATAATTTAGGATGCATTATATGCTTTGCACCACAGAAATAAATTACATTTGATAATATACTCAAATAGAAAAAAGTTATTTAAAATGTTTAAAATATTCCACAGTATTACTGTCTTTACTGTACTGTCTTTATATGCCTTATTGAGCAAATAAAAACAATGAACAATCTTGCTGACCCCAAACTTTTGGTATAGAGTATACTGTAATGCCTATAAATCATCATCTTAAACCAGAAAAGAACATAAAAACATTAGTTTTAACAATATGTGATCATCTATATAAGAAAGTTGAGCTTCATTGATTTTCTCAAACTTAATAAAAGAGCCTCAGAACCAAACGTTAACATCCAGACACCTTTTAACACCAAATAAATGCATTAACATGACAGAGTTCCAATACAATTGGCTAATTTATTTATCATTCAGTCAACAGTTGGTTTTAATGGAGGAAAATGAAGCTCAGCTTTAAACCTCATATTAAACGGTTGAGGAGACACATTTTTCTCAGACTGACCTGCATTCAGCCTTTACTCCAGATTCTCTGCCTATGTGAAAACCCCTCAGTGACGGCAAACTAAATTTAGACAGCAGCTCAGGTCCGGTCCAGGTCTCCTCAACTGATTAGGTTAATAACAGTATAATGGCATCATTTTTTAATCTTGTCTGTACTAGAAACTCACTGTACGCCTAATTTCCCCTGGGAACTTTCACATCCCATTCCTGTAACTTGTCCCGGAGCCTTTTTCTTTATGTATCTTTATTTTATTTTTTTTAGTTTTCGTTTTTATTGGCTTTTAAATGAGATTGAAGATTAGGAGTAACCAGGGGACTAAAAGCAAATTAAGAAATTCTCATTTGATGCTCATCGCTAGATATGAGTTGGAGAAACGTTTATCAAATAAACAGTTGGTTTCTCATTTTCTGGAAATTTAGAATAAAGGCTGAAACTTAATAGTGTTTTAGGGTTTAGTGCAGAAATCATGGTGCAACTAACAAACATAAATGTAAAACAGGAAAAATGGTCACACTTTATTTTAAGGTCCAATTCTCGCTATTAACAAACCATCAACTATGACTTTAGCCTCAATATACTCCTAATTAGTAGTATAAGCTTATTAATAGCTAGTAAGGTAGTTGTTAAATTTAGGTATTGGGTAGGATTAGGGATGTAGAATATGGTCATGCACAATATGCTTTACAAGTACTAATAAACAGCCAATATGTTAATAATAGTCATGCTAATAACGAGGACATAAATACATGAACAACATCTCCAGAACTGCTCTGAGAGTCACTTCATGAGCATTTGACCGTTTCATTTGAGTAAAACTATCCCCATACCATATCCACACAGAAATGTAAAGGTATTCACAGCAACCCGTCAAAATAAACCCGTTCGGTTTTTAAAAAGTTCAGTTCTCAGTCCCCAAAGCCGTTAACCTTGGGGAAACACTGCAACCCAACTCAAAATGTCAGCGTTTAAAGAAAACCCCATGTTTCTCTTTGCTAATTACAATTTGACATTGTTGTGTCATTCATGTGACCTTCGTACGATCTTTCTGACATGACTTGAAGGCAGCAATAAAACATTTAAAACATCAGCTTGATATCACCGCTGCTAGAATAAATGACATCAGAAGAGCATAAATGCCACTAAAGCTAATTAAAGCCAACATAAGCACATCTTGCATAATGGTGAAACGGCTTTGAAGGCTTTTTATGCTGTAGGGACATAGTGGAATTTCAGAGTTTTGTGATTTTATTCCACACAAAAGGTTCACCGGAGTCTCCCCATTATAAGAAGACTAAAAATGCAGTTTTTTTAATCACTCAATCCTCCAGGGGAAATGAACAAATAAGTGTAACGCATGGCTAGATGATGAAACCTCTCCACCCACCCACTCCAGACATCCCATAATAACATTGACCCCAGGGTCTATGCACTCTGATGAGCTGTTGCCATAACAACCCCAGTGGCATGGTCGCATTAGGACTGGGGTGTGTGTTTGTCTTAGTGCTGGCCCCTACTGTCACACAACCCCGGAAGGACATCACAATCTGCATGGCAAGAGCCTTGATTTCCAGAGAAACATGTCTCATCTCGGACTGATCAGGGTCATCGCTAAAATTCACAGGGTCTGGAACAATGTTTTTGTGCATGGGCCCCTCTTCCATGTGAGAAAGCTGATACTATAGAGCTGTAAGGGCCCACCAGGAGGCTTCAGCAAACAAAAAAAGTATTACAAAAATATTTTTAAATTTTAAAATATTTATTGATTGACTGACTTATTAATTATTCATTTAGCTCCGTTTCTTCCTTCAAACTCTCTGGGCTTTTGGTTATACAGTCTCTCTCCTTTGGATTATTTGAATTTTAATTTTTTTAATAAACTAAACCTAAGTAAACCTACACTTCATTCATTAATTCATTCAGCTCTGGGTTATCTATAAGTATAAGGTGTCTCACCTTTGGATTATGTGATTTTTTTTTTAATAACTAAACCTAAACTTCATTCATTCATTCATTCAAGTTGTCTCTCTTTTGGATTATTTGAAGTATTAATTTTAATAAAACTAATGTTTTTTTGGATTGTTTTGTAATGAACTAAACATTTATGTACAGTATGTATGCATGTATTTATTTATTTATTTAGATCTAACCTCAATTTCAAAGTAAAACGTAAACTGACATCATATTTCTTATGTAGACCCTTTACGGTTTCTAATGATATTACTCTTCTCTGTGCAACCCAAAATCGAAGTTTTTTTTTTAGTTCTTTTGACTGTTATCAAGAAAAAATGCAACTGAATGCACCAGCGTGTTCACTGACCTCAGAGGGTTAAATTTGTCCCATCAGCAATTATTTTTATTGAAAAACATACACTTATTAAACCTATGCTATTATGTTTTTGTCAATCAAAAAGCTGAAACAAGCAACTTTTTCACCAGTACTGCACACCGAAAACAGTAAGACATCCCTCTGACATACAGTATGTGCATATAATCCATCTAGTTTATCAATCCAGTACATAATTAGACTCTCTTCTCACTGTTTTTGGAACTGAAAGTTGTTATTATTATTAATATTTACAGTAATTCACCTAAGCACAGTGTACAGTTAAAGGTCAGACCTGTATCAGCCATAATGAGGCTAATAACACAATGAGGGAAATCCCAGGTTCTACTAATGTATGCAGAGAAGCACAAGAGATCAAATCTTTAACAGCACTTTTTGAGCACCGCACACACTTGCATTATACATTAGTAGCTAATTAGTCAGTCTTGTACAAACAACTGATGTGCAGAGCATCACTGTACATGCTGAGAACACAAACATCTGCTGCTCCTGTCTATCTAGCCTTTAATTCCCAGAATACTTAGCAAAAAAAAGAAGATATAAAAAAAACTATAGGGAATCAACAAAGGACTAATGCACACACGTTCACACATGAACAAAACGGGGGTTATACATGCCCTCTGGCTAGCATAATTACATGACTAATTACAGCGATAATTAAATAATATATATGTAGATTCTGCTTTGATGAGGGCATTTTAACATTAAAGAAAAGTAAAACTCTATTCAGAACATCCAGTTCATTCATTCTCCGTGGATTAAAAGAAAACTTACAGGCTTATGTGTCTCTGTAACAGCCCGACATTTACCATTAAATAAGCCACATTTTGTTGGGCCTTGACAAGCTCTTCAAAAGTCAGCCAATTACCCTTTGAATCCTGCCAGTGTTGAGGGATGATGGAAGAATTGGCGTGAAATGCTGCAGGGTGGATTTGTCATGTCTCCCTGCTGTTGTGAATGTGTGTCATTTAGCTCAGTTAGTTTAACAGGATCTGACTTCTCTTTTTGTTTCTTTTTTGTTTATTGTTTTCTTATTTCAACAGCTGCTAAATATAATGTACAGTATTCTCTGTAACAACTGCATTATAATATAAAATGAAATACAGTAAGTACTATAAAGAACACTACAAAAGCATAATAAAATATTAAACAACACATCTGTTTTCATCATTTACAATAACAAGAAATGTTTCTTAATCACCATATCAGCAGATTGATTTGTGAAAGTCCATGTGACACTGAAGACTGCAGTAATGGCTGCTGAAAATTCAGCTTTGCATCACAGGAATAAATTACATTTTAAAATATAATTAAATAGAAAACTGATTTTTTTAAATTGTAATATTTGATACGATTTATTGTATGTATTTTTTAAAGCATTTTAAAAATCTTACTGACCTTAAACTAGAGTATATAGTATATAAACACCATTTTAAACAAAAAACCTGTACTTATTGGTACTGTAAGTAGTTGTTACACTTTTTACACAGTAAATATTTCATAGGCTTATTTTTTAAGATGGATGCATGAAAACATACATGTAAAACATATATAAAACATAAAACAATTCATGAAATGTAAAAAAATGTAAAAGATAACACAAATGATGGTCAGCAAATATTGTAATAAATACAATGTATACAATAATACAACTTGCCCAAACCTGAAAAACATCATTGTCCTGATAAGTACCATATTCACATACTATGGTATTTTTTTTACCAGACTCCAATGCATTAAAAAAAAACATGGTAGTACCATAGTAAGTGCTCAAAAGGTTGTGTTCTACATTTATAAACATTTCTGTCACAACTCAGTGCCACAATGAACAAGTGAATGTAAAATATGATTCAAGGAAACGGTCAAGGAATTAAAATAAACAGTCACAGCACTGAAACTACAAATATCTGCTTTTCCTTAAATAAATATGTCAATTTTATCCTACAATCTTAATGCTTTCCCCGCTTGGACCTGTAACAAGTAACATGACTGCCAGCCAAATCGAAATGAGATGAATAGGGTAAATGTATTCACTTTTCAAATGAAAATGTGAAGCTGAA